CATTTCCATCATTCCCCAAGAAAACCTGTACCTCCCAATTCCTTCATTTCCCCTCCCCCTCCCTTGGCAACCATGAATCACTTTTCTTTCTCCAGGAGTATTTTTCTTCAATGGATTTTTCTATTCTGGACAGTTTATATAAACTAAATTGTATTATAGGAAGGATTTTGTGTCTGGCTTCTTTCACATGGTACAATGTTTTCAAGGTTTATGTCCTCTTTCTTTCTTTCTTTGTTTCTTTCTTTCCTTCTCTTTCTTTTCTTTCTTTTTTTTTCCTTCCTTCCTACCCTCCTTCCTTCCTTCCTACCTTTCTCTCTCTCTCTTTCTTTCTTTCTTTTGTTTTTTGTTTTTTTGAGACAGAGTCTTGCTCTGTCACCCAGGCTGGAGTGCAGTGCTGTGATCTCAGCTTACTGCAACCTCCACCTCCCAGGTTCAAGTGATTCTCTTGCCTCAACCCCCTGAGTAGCTGGAACTACAGGTGCGTGCCACCAAACCCGGCTAATTTTTGTATTTTTAGTAGAGATGGGGTTTTGCCATGTTGGCTAGGCTGTTCTCGAACTCCTGACCTCAGGTGATTCACCCACCTCGGCCTCCCAAAGTGCTGGGATTATAGGCATGAGCCATTGTGCCCAGCCTAAAGGTTTATTTCTATTGTATCATGTATCAGTATTTCAGTTTTTTAAATGACTGAATATCTCATTATATGGATATACTACATTTTATTTATTCATCAATTCACGGACATTAGAGTTGTTTCCAGTTTTTATTGATTGTGCATAATGTTGCTATGGACACTTATGCACAAGTTTTATTGTGGAGACATTTTTTCAGTTCATTTGGCTTTATATTTCAGGGTGTAGTTGCTGTGTCATATGGAAACTATGTTTAAGCTTTTGAGGAATTGCCAATTGTTTTCCACAGGAGCTGCACCATTTTAAATTCCCACAAGCAATGTATAAGACCAATTTCTCCACATCCTTGTCAACATTTGTTACTGTTCATTTAAAAATAAATAGCCATCTGGGCCAGGTGCAGGGGCTCATACCTGTAATCCCAGCATTTTAGGAGGCGGAGGTGGGCTGATCACTTCAGGCCAGGAGTTCGAAACCAGCCTGACCAACATGGTGAAACCTGTCTCCACTAAAAATACAAAAATTAGCAAGGCATGGTGGCGTAATGCCTGTAATCCCAGCTACTCAGGAGGCTGAAAAACCAGGTGTGGTGGCTCATGCCTGTAATCCCAGCACTTTGGGGACTGAGGTGGGCAAATCACCTGAGGTCAGGAGTTTGAGACCAGCCTGGCCAACATGGTAAAACCCCGTCTCTACTAAAAGTACAAAAATTAGGTGGGTATGGTAGTGGGTACCGGTAATCCTAGCTACTCGAGAGGCTAAGGCAGGAGACGTGCTTGAACCTGGAAAGCAGAGGTTGCAGTGAGTCAAGATTGCACCACTACATTCTAGCCTGGGTGACAGAGGGAGACTCCATCTCAAAAAAAAAAAAAAAA